CAACTAGATCTTACAAAATTTCCATGTACCATGTTTATAGATAATATAGTTACTTGTGCCCATAGACTTCAAAAGAGTACAAATTCACCCACTACTGTTAATGATAACTACCATTCAAACCCGAAATTACAGAGTTTTAGGATGGGGCGCACATAAATATTTTTTTTTAAAAGATTTTCTTTATTTATTTGGCAGACAGAGATCACAAGTAGGCAGAGAGGCAGACAGAGAGAGAGGGGGAAGCAGGCTCCCTGCCGAGCAGAGAGCCCTATATAGGACTCCATCCCAGGACCCTGAGATCATGACCTGAGCTGAAGGCAGAGGCTTTAACCCACTGAGCCACCTAGGTGCCCCCACAAATATTTTTTAAAAGACAGAGCAGGTCAGGTCCCTGGGGGGTTTACTTAGATCTTTTATTCCATAAAGAAATAGTAGCATTTATCATGTGTTAGGTACTGAGATATGAAAGTGACAGAGATAGTTTAACTTAGAGTTCAGTTTATGCCACTGATCCAGTAGCAATACTGAGAAACAAAGGAGCCATAAATCCTAACCACACTATGACTTAGCTAGTATTTCTCTCTTTGATAAAGAATAATAAGCAATTGCCAGATGCTTTGCTGAAATGCAATTCAAGTAACTTAAAACACAAACAATACACCAACACTAGGAATACAAAAATTAGTAAGATATGATCCTTCCTCCCCAGAAGCTCATAATTTTGAAAAAGGGATAAACTATATCTTGGCATCCTTCCAGCCTACCAGAATAGTCATCTAATAAAAGTGAGTCATCCTATATTTCATCTTCTTACTCTTAGCTATATCCTGCTGTAAAATTAAAATACATCTTTCTTCCCTTGGTGTTTACAAGTTCCAAATATTTATAGACTCATGTCTCTACTTCGCTGTCTCTCAGCCAAGATGAATATCTTTAGCTCCTCTCCTCCTTTCCTTTTAAAGCAATTCCTTAATATAAGTAATCTTTTTAGTGACTTTATTTAAATTCTCTATTTCTGTTTTAAATTCTGGGATCCAAATGACACAACTAAATACTATTTCAGATATGTAATCAATCACAATAAAAAACCCCAATCTTCTTTGATGATATAATGCCTCTGTTTGTAGAGTCCAAAACACTGATTTTTTTATTTACTTTTTAAATTTGGGGGGGTTATACTATTACATTGCAAAATTGTATTTACTCTAATGCCTTTGATTGTATGGATCTTGCAGGTTTCTCACATCAAATGAAAATTTAGAGATGGTACATACTCTGAAACAGTTGTAACCAACAAATAGTATAAGGCAAAATTTCTTACAATAGGAAATGAAGCATTAAAAAAAAAAAAAAACAACACTCCTGACTAACACACAACTCTATTAAAATAGGTTCACACACAAAAAAATTTTTCAAATGTCCCCATCATTTTTTTTTAAAGATTTTTATTTATTTATTTGACAGACAGAGATTACAAGTAGGCAGAGAGGCAGGCAGAGGGAGATGGGGGGGAAGCAGACTCCCTACTGAGCAGAGAGCCCGACCCATCATGTTTTTAAAAACCACATTCATATTTGATAAACTTCATATTTCTATACTGACTACAGAATACATCTAAAGTAAACACACAATTTAAATCTTCTACTCCTAAAAATACTTCGGCAGAACCATGACAATACGGTCCAAGTATCAGGATTCACGATCACTGACAAGAACTGAGCAGGCTGACACAGGGCAGAGGCCTACTGATTCAGAGTTTCAAATATTATTAGTTACTTACTTGAAGAAAAGAGGCATTCAGTGAATGCAAATTATGAATATGCTATACAAGGTCAGAACCACATTAAGAATATATTTTTTTCAACATCATGCTATGGTTGAGGTAATAATAAGAGTAGCTTCCATAATGGGAAAAAAATTTTCATTCTGGGAAAAAAAATGTTCATTCTGTTGTTCCCAATTTTTTTTTAGTTAACTCTACACCACATGCAAGGCTTGAACTTGCAACCCTGAGATCAAGAGTTGCATGCACTACCCCCTGAGCCAGCCAGGCACCCCTGCTGCTTGCAAACTTTTAGCACTTAAGAACAAACAAACTCCCAGGGTGCCTGGGAGGCTCAGTTGGTTAAGCATCTGCCTTTGGCTGAGGTCATGCATGATCCCAGGGTCCTGGGATCGAGCCTCACATCAGCCTCCCTGCTCAGGCAGGGAGCCTACTTCTCCTCCTGCTTGAACTCTCTCTCTCTCTCTCTCTCTGTCAAATAAATAAATAAATCTTGAAAAATAAATAAATAAAATCTCCCTAGCCTGGTATCTTTGGCTTCCTTGATCAGGTTCTAACCAATATCTTTCTGGTCTTAACCACATACTACCACAATTTAGCTTATCCATATTGGAATCAGACAGAACTCCATACTCTTTCTGAGATAATTCAAGAGCTTTCTCCCCTCAAAAGTTTTTACACCCAACACTCCCTTAGGTTACCCTCCTTTCTCAAATCTCTTTATAGCCGAGAGAGGTCTTAAGTGCCAGACTCAAGCTCAAGTCTCTATTTCGATTCTACTTATCTTTCAATGTCTAGCTCACGTGGCATTTCTGTGAAGCTTTCCTTTCTCCCTCCGCCCCTCATAGCCTCTTCTAACCTTTAGTCTGTGCCTGTCACATAGCCACGATCACGTTCTTTCTCATCTAGTTTACAGCACAGCTGTTTTTGCCCATGGCAGATTTCTTCTCTCAGAGTAAAGTCCTGAGGAGAAGCTCTTCCACGCAGTTATCTCTGTACTGTCCCCATCCCTCATGCTTTAAACATACAAGGTAATAATAAGTGTTTATTATAGACAGTGTGTTGAAATATATAAATATGTTACTTGATCCAAAAGCATACCATAATAATCAGTATTCTTACTCACATTCACTCAGTGAGGAAATATTTACTCAGTACCTGTTGTGTACTCAGGTACTACTAGCGTGCCAAAATGAATCATAAACCCCGCTCTCTCAAGAAGTATATGGTCTAGAAGATGTTCTAGGGTACCTATATATACTGCTACCATACTAACAGATAAGTATCATAAGAGAAGTAAAGAAGTACAACAGCAACCAGCAAGAAGGAAAGATTATTTCCAAGTAGGAATGTATACGAGGATAAGTTTTAACATTTGTCCAAGTCCTCAAAGACAGGTAGTATTTGAATATGAAGAGATGGGGTAATAAGTAAAGGCCATTCAAGCAGGAAATCTCCGGACACAGGGAACAATCAATAGTTTAATGGTACAGTGTAAATGAAAGATGATAGGGATAAAGAAAAATTCTAAAGGCAGTTGGAGCTATATCTGTTATAACCTTGAAAGCCCAATAAGGAACTAGAGCTTCAGTCTGTAAGCAATGAGTAACTATCAAAGTTCTTGAACAGGGGCTGTGTAGTTATTTAGATGGTCCAAACCGGATGGAAGGGAAAGAGACTGCAAGGAGACAAGTTGAGAGGCTAGTACTATCCTTCAAGGGAGAGATAATAAAGGCCTGAACTGAGAATGAGGCACTAGGGATGGAAATGGCCAAATGGAAGAGATATTTTAGAGGTGAAACCAACAACACTAGGCAAGGTCTAGATGTATAGTGCAAAGGTCTGCAAGGGGTAAAAGAACCTTCTAGGTTGAAAGGAGGGTGATCCCATAAGTAAGATAGACATGAAAACAGCAAACCGACTAGGAGAAAACTGAGTCCTAGTCATACTGAGTTTTCGTACAGGTGGATACTCACGTGACAAGATCAGAAATAAAATCTGTTAATCTATGCTATTCAGAATAAAATATACAACTTTGTGAAAAAAGAGAAGAGCTGAAATTAATCTTCAATAAAAGATTCTGACCAATGATTCAAACATGATTATGAACTCAAAAATAATTCACATCAGTTATATTAAGCACACAGCAAATTAATATTAAAAAAAAAACACTTATGAAGAAGGTTTTGAACTGGAATGACCTCGTGTACCCATGTAAAAATGTGCTGATTCTGTGGTTTATAGTAAAATGACCAGGTGAAAGTCTTTGGGAACAGCTCGAAATTATGAGGTGAAATGCATCTACTGAATTGGGAAGTCCATCTTTGTGGTTACCTTCATTGGGCTTCAACTTAACTTCAATGTCACAGCAAGAGATGGTAAAGTCAGACAGCAAGGGGTACTAACTAGATGTCCTTTTGTATTCATTCCTCTCTATAACAAATACTTCTCCTCAATTAGTAAAACTGAGTCGACCTAGATTTATCCCTACCATATCCCTAGAATTGCCAAAAGCCTAAGAAATAATGATCATGGAACCACTTTTCTGAGGAGAGTCGGGGAATAAAATTTCCAATTATAAACTCTCATGGGTATTACTATTCAGTAACTATTCAGTAACCATGTTTCCTCTCGAACAAACCAAAAAGATCTCCCCAACACAAACTAACGTGACAATAATGCAAAGATAACCAGAATTTAACATTAATAAATGTTTGTTACATGTGTACTGAAAAAAAGGTATAATCAAACATTTAATTTGTTGATAATACTGATAACATTTATTGATAATACTGATAACATTCTGTTCACTGGATGCAATGTCATTATTTCAATTTAGCTCTTAAGGAAAAAAAAAACAATGAGAACTCAATCTTTAATTATTAATGTTTTTACTAATAATGAGCAATAATACAAAAAATGGATTGAAAGGTATTTATTTCACATATGATATTCCATTAAGATTATACCAATCGTTTGTTGAAAACCACACATTTTATAGCTATGCATAAATACAATGGAAGCACATACACCAAATGTTCATAATGGTAATCTTTTAACTGTAGGCTTATGGGTGATTTTATTTCCTTCCCTTTTACTTATATGTGTTTTCAAAATTTTCTACAATGATGTTTATAATAATTGCACTAAGAGGAAAAAATATTTTTTAAGAGAAGGTAAAAAATCGTATTGATCAATTTAAAAGAAACATACTTACCAGATCTCTGTGAAGCACCCAATTTGCATGGAGGTAATGGATACCATCAAGAATCTGGTAAAGTAATGATTTAACCATAGATCTTGGCAACTGCATGGGCTTTTTATTTGCTTTTGATGCACGGTGAAACTTAATAATATGCTAAAAATTAAAAAAAAACATTCAAAATAATATATAGTATTTGCTAATATTTATATCAATAAAACACAAGTCTACAATAAACTCTCTACATTTAAAAATTACTTATTAAATGCCAATAATGACACAAAGAAAAATAATTTGAATACTAAGGTCAACCAAATAGAACCTATATTGGTGGTCAGTCAACGTGACAATGTTATTGAGTGTATAATGACTAGATTTATCGAAACCACAAGATTTTCATTAAATAAAACTAAAAGATAAAAAGCATTGATACTTAAAAGCCTACATAAAAATAGCATTAGTTGTATTCTCTATTGACAGAATGAAAGACTAAAAAAAAAAGAAGACCCTGTGAATCTTTACTGTCCTTTTTTTTTTAAAAGGAAACTCCATGCCGCACATGGGGCTGGAACTCACACCCTGAGATCAAGAGTTGTATGCTCTACTGACTGAGCCACCCAAATGCCTCTATATCTTTACCATACTATAAAAAGTTAGCACTTAGAGCATTTGTGTAATGTCACTGACTATATGTACATTTGAATTATTAGAAAGTTCTACCTTCTTTGGCACAGTGTGAAATTAGGTTACATTCCTAGTAGTTAATATTAAATAGGAAATCACTAGGAAGGAGGAGGGAGAGAAAAATGGGAAATCCAATCCCACTGAAATAAATACAACTGCATCAACATATTCATAAGTTTATGTCCATATGCTATTTTGTAGGTCATGAAAACATTATAATGATAGGGAAGAAATGCTACCTGTCCCCCAAACTTGCATCTACATCTCTACCTCACCCCAATGCAAAACATGACATAATGGGTATTAAAGGCCATTTAAACCCCTATTAAACAACAATGGAAACATTGCTCCACTAACTTTAAAATGGTCAGATAGCATGGAAAAATTTTAAGCTATTTACATTGCTTTCTTGGTTTTTTTTATAAACTGTTCAACAATATATACTTTATTTAAAGAACTAATAGAAAATTAAAGAGTATACTATAGTAACAGTGTCCAAAATATATATACAGTATGAACTTTCAACTTTCAACTTTTTATAGCCACATTAAAAAAAAGAAACAAGTAAAATTAACGTAATGTATTTTAACTAACACAGCATATTAAAAATATGATCATGCCAACATACAGTCAATATAAAACATATTAATGAGATATTTTTCATTTTTTTCCTACTAAGTCTCCAAAAGTCAGTATGTATTTTATATTTATAGCGTATCTCAATTTAGACCAGCTACACTTCCGGTGCTCAACAGGCACATGCGGCTGGGGACCGCCTTGTTACAAACAACAGGCCTACAGGACCTGATACTCCAACATGCTACATGTTTTTTCCTCACGTCACTGATATTCAAAATGAATGTTATCAAATAAACCTTGGGAGAAATATAAAGGATACAGAGAAATGGAGAAAACATAATTCTTGTGATCAGCTATGAGAAAAATTCACTGGACATTCTTGTCAATATCCTATAATAGCATAAATTCTTAAAGTTCCTTCAAGACCTGTAAGTCTGTTAAAGTTTCTCCAAAACAGATGTGCCATATTTATAAATCACACGCCACACTATGTTAAGTCAAAACTTAACTACCAAAAATTTGGACTTACTGCCAAGTCTGAATATTTTTTACTTTTAGCAACTCCTTGGGTAAAATGTTTAAAGACCGTGATTTCTAACATAAAAAATTTGGAATTAGAGTTTTTGGCTAATATTCATAAAACTATACATATATACTTCTATATAATTGGCAAAATGCTGCAAGAGACTGACCTTAACTTAGAAAGGGAAATTATTCACAAGTACATAGCTGGTGAAATTTGAACTAGTGTGTGTACCACAAAAGAAAGCAATTTTCACTACACATTATCAGTAAACTGTCTTTGATGACTTGCCTAAAATTAGTCTCACACACGTTAACACTTTTGAAGTGACATTTCTGAATGTTACAAATACCATCTTCTCAGTATATGACAGCGTTTACTGCTTGAGTTCTCTTAAATCTGCATTTGCATTTAATACTTATTTTAAACTCTGGTCAACAAAGCAAGTTTTCCTTCATGCGCATTAGCAATACGCAGCATTACATACATCTGTTTCTCCGTACCTAGATGAAGAGTCCTAAAAATAAAGTGAGTTTAGACTTACCCACAAATCATGTTCCGCATAATCAAAGAGCAGCCACACCTTCCTGTCACTGTGAGAAAGGAACACCTTCTGCAAGGCGATCACGTTAGGGTGCTTCAATTCTCGCAAAAGCTGAATGCAAGAGGAAGAGAGGGGGTCACTCTCCTGTTCGCAAGCAGGGGGAAATGATGCATTTTCTAGTGAAATCTTTGAAAATTTAGACAATCCAGATAAGCAAAATGAAAGAAAAAAAAATACCCCTCCTCTGAGATAAGCTCTGCCCCCTCTTGGTGCATACCCTTCAAATTCTTTTTCCACATGTATGCGTGTGTTTCCAAAATGGGATCATTTTAAACAGTAAAATGCAAAACAGTAAACAAAAATAAATATCGTATCATGAAGTAATTAAATATAATTTGGAATGTGCTTTTTTTTTTTTTTAACTATTGAGGGGCAGGAATCATGTATTAATTCTGGTTTTTTCTACCCTAGCACAGTAGGTACTCAGTAAATATGTGACAAAAGAAGGGAAGAAATTTAACAATCTCTATACTTACCCATGCCTAGAATACGTGTTTGAGGTTTTTTAGAAAAGCAGTGAGTATAAGGTAATGACTCTCATTCCCACTGATTTAAAAAAAAAAAAAAATGGTGTGGAGAAGAGGTCCCATAAATATAGAGAATAAGGAATAGGCCCTCACAGAGTAGAAGCTGGACCCTGATAATAAGAAGAAAATCATAAGAAGACAGACCAGATCTGCAAGTGAAACCTTAGCCCCTGGCACGTACCAGGCCGCTGCTTGATAAATTACTTAGCAACAACTTTTGCTGTTCGAGGGCAAAGCCTTATAAACACGCTTGCCTCGGGCATTCCTTAACCAGGGTTCAGATTTAACACTAACATGCTCAACTTGCTATTTTGAATGTCTTTTACACGTAAAACTCTGTGGGAGATACAGAAAGAGGGAACAAAATTTCTACTGAATACTTTTTGTGTGTAGGAAGATTAGATATACATGCTTTTCTCTCCTTTAAACCTTCTAACAACCCTCTGATCCACATGGAACCTGAGGGCCAGTGTTATAAAAATAACTTGATCAAAACCAAACATCTAGAAAGAACAGCAGTTTGGATTTAAAGAGATCTGCCTAACTCCAAAGTCCACGCTTTGTGCACAATGGCTAAAGCCCTTGTCTTCATTTCCTACAGTGTAGCAGGCAAGACAAACATACAAATTGGTCAATGAGGCAAGAGAAAAATTGTTTACCCATTTTAATAACTTTATTATTTTTTTCCTAAGTGCCTGAGCTGGAATCCTGTAAAAAAAAAAAAAAAAATTGTATGGGACGCCTGGGTGGCTCAGTGGGTTAAGCCTCTGGCTTTGGCGCAGGTCATGATCTCAGGGTCCTGGGATCAAGCCCCACATCAGGCTCTCTGCTCAGCAGGGGGCCTACTTCCCCCTCTCTCTGCCTGCCTCTGACTACTTGTGATCTCTCTCTGTGTGTCAAATAAATAAATAAAATCTTTCCCAAAAAAATCATGTGAATTCCATCTCTGTAAGTTTTATAAATTACTTCCCAGTTGCTAAATTCTTTACTACTTTCAATGCTGTTTCCCAGTCCTTCAATTCTCTCAGTTTGGTTCTGTCCTTCAGCTTTTACTCTTGGCCTGCCCTTTGACCACCTTGCTGGAAGGTGGCGCTCTACCAGGTATAATTTGGGCATGGTTCCCGGAGAAGACTCCCTGGGTTCTCCCTCAAGCCACCTGCCCCACAACACAGCTAAGAAGCAAGAGTTAGGATGGGCCGGGCTGCCCTGAGACACCCTTCTACTTTGCACAGTCTGCCTCAGGGTTCTATGCACATTTCCTACTAGATCTAGGTAGGAAAGGAGAGATGGAAAAAAGTGTCCAGGGAAGACATAATAGTCCTACTCCCTTGGTGAGCAGGGAGGGCAGGGGGCCATTAGGCGAGTGCTCAGCTATCGGCTGCTGCCTCTACTCCCACTGCCTAAGAAAGGTGAAACAATCCCACCTCTTGCTTCAGATGCATGTTAGACATGATACGCCCCTAATCAGTGACTGTATCAGAGAAAGTGGGGGGATGCAGAACTATACCCAGACAGTTTTCCTGTTTGTGAATGGTTTAGGCTCCTAGACTCAGTGGGTTAATGTTTAATGACCCTATTTGCCATGGTCAACCTTCAAGCACTTGGACCCTGGTGAGAGGCCCTCCTGCAGAAGCAATGTCTTATCCCCTCTCTGACTCTTGGTATTAATGAACTTAGAGAGTTTGGCTTGATTAAGTCTCTACCCAAAATACATTCTCTTTGTTGCCTGCAAGTGGAAGGGAGGTGAAACTCACTTCTGCATCTACACCAGGCTCTGACTCGTCCGAGGGGAAGGGAGATCACATGCGGCAATATTTCATCCATATCTCTAAAAATTTATGTTTTCTGTAACTACAAATTGGTGATCCCTCTACAATGCAACCAATTTAGCTCCCATGTTTAAACATTATTTTGAATAGGTAATATATTTACATGGTCCAGAAATCAAAAGTACATAAAAGGATATACACTGAGATGTCTCATTACCATGCCTGGCCCTGGTGACCATAGTCCTCTTTACCTGCCAGAACTAACAACTTTTATTAGTTAATCCTTCCAGTGTTTCTTTATGCCAATAAAAGCAAATATGAATATCTGTTTTTAATCTGTCCTTATTTACTCAAAAGATAGCACTTAACTTTCTTTCAATACAATCTATCCTAGAAATTCCCTCCACTATCAGTATACAGTATTAGTAGGTAGAAATCTTTCTTTTTCTTTATTACAGCAGCAATGTATTTCTAAGTCTTTTCCTTTCTAGTTCTTTTTTTTTTTATTGTGGTCAAGTGTGCATAACATAAATTTACCATTTTAACCATTTTTAAGTGTACTGTTATCCTTTGATACTCGTTTTGCAGAAATATCTCGCTTGTGCTAACATGAAGCTGTTACAGTCTTTATTCATTCAAGTAAGGCAAGGGGTACGGCAAAGGCCAAGTAATGGTGAGCCTTGTAAGCCATGCGGAAGTGTCCCCAGCAAGGGTCTCTAATATCACTGGAAGTTTGCTAGGCACAGGGGGTAAGTGGAGAAGCCAGCGGATATTAAAGGTCCCACACTTTGACTATCCTGTGCGTGTCTCATGGTCAGGTCAACCAAATGAGGAAGTCTAAGGGTGATGGAATTTAAGACAACTCCCAGATTTGGCTTCACGGAATCATCTGTATTTTAGGTGTATTTATACTGGTATATTTTTATACTGCTTTAACTGTTTAAACTGTCCCCCATTAAACCTCGAGAACAATGTTTAATGTATCCCTGTATCCCCAGGGATGAATGCAGAGCCCAGCACATAGAAGAAGCCCTGTTTTTAGTGATCTCATCTAGCTGGAGGGCTTTCAATGTCACTGGTGTGCAGGAACTCCCAAATGTGTTTCTCTAGCCTGCACATCTTCCCTGAACTCCAGCGATGTGTATCCAACCCCAACAACATCTTCACTTGAATGTCTAAGGACCCAAACTGAGGTGGTGCTTTCCACCTCCCCTGTCCTCTGCCCCAACTGCTCTTCCCCCGGCTCAGTACTTAGCAGCCTCATCATTCCAGTGACTCAGGTAAACAACTTCATCTACTTTAACTCTCTTCACAATGGCCCCTTCTCAGTGAGTCTTTCCTGGTTCTTCTATTTGAAATTATAACCGCCCTCTGCACCTTTATTTTTCTGCAAAGCACTATCACTGTCAAAAATATTACAGCTCTATATTCCTTATCTATAATTCTAAAGAGCTCAGAAAACAAAGGCTTCTAGGAACTCATGTAGGAAAAAAAATTTAACGTCAATGAAAAAAAAAATACACTGTCAAGGACACACCCTTTCAGGTTATCAGATTCTGATTCTACAACTCTGTACGTTAGAAACAACTGATAACAATGCAGGATAATACTTGTCTATACACGTGCAAACTGTCCTGTCCAGGAGAGGTTCACTGACTTCCCTCTCCCATTATGGAAAAGGTGAGTTCTGCCTCAATTTGCCCATCATTTTAATATTCCTGATCTATAAATATGTCTAAGAATTCTCCTTTGAATGGGCTATACCATCTACTGGTTTCCTTCATTTAACAAGTTAAAGAAAATCTTCAAATATGTTCCCTTTATATCTGTATCATATCATAATTCTACCTCGTTTTGCAGAAATATCTCACTTACACTAAGGTGAAGCTATTACAGTCTTTATTCATCCAAGTGTGAATGATCATACTTCTATACTAAAGAAATTAACAGGTTTGATTACTGCTTCCCTGGGTGCTAGGTAACATAATATATATACCATATTATCTTTCTAAAATCTTTTTAAATTTTTTGACTCTAAAACACATCTGGTTCCTGAGGCTTCATTTAAGGAATTGGGAGCCTAGGTATTGTTTGTTTATTTTATCTTGTTTATTGTCTGTCTCTCTCCATTAACCTATAAACCCCATGAAGGCAAAGTTTTTGCTGGTTTTATACCTCCCATGCTTAAAAATGGTGCCTGGCACATAGTAAGCACTCAATAAATATTTGTCACAAGAATGAAATCTACTGAACTTACTGAACTTACCTAGTTCCTACAGAATAAACCAGTAAATAGCTTGGAATATTATAAAACTTCAGTATCCTTCCAAAGGTGTTTTGAATGCTTTTGTTTTTAAAAAATTGAACAGACTATGTCTAATATGGTTTTTCTAAGGATACTGACTTTCTGCAAGCTACATCTATTTTAAGCTTAAGAAGGAATAGTTCTCTCTACTAGTGCCCACACTACCAGAAGCAGAAGAGAGCTGCCTTGATGTGAAGAGCAGACACATAGCTCTTAATAGTTCAGGGTGAGGTATTTCAGCAGCACAGAACCTGAAACGGAAAAGGGTGCTGCGAGAGTGTTTCCTGAAAGGACTACGAATGAAATAAGTGCTACAAAATTCTGAAGAAAATGCACACAGGAAAAGGGGACGGGGGGACACACCTGAGGAACAAAACAGAGATGAATCCCATCACTGGTTAATTTCAAGGCTAGTTTGCTAACAGAAGGCTAGACCCTAAGTAAGTGCCA